GGCTTCAAAGTTTGATGGTGTCTTTTTTTTGTTCTTTCTTTTTTTTTTCTTTGTATTTTTCCTCCCTCTCCAAAGACTCTGAGCAGCAGGCTAATGGATCCCCAGCGGGGTGCAGAGACAGCGGAAAGCAAGGGAATCAGATGTCAATGTGTTCCTCCCAGACACCCTGCTAGGACAGAGCCGGCTACACAGGGCTCCGGTTCGCCCCACGCACACGCTTTGCTGGTTCCCTGCCCACTCTGGGCTCCCTCTATGCTCCCTGATTAAGATGCTGTCACAGATAAATCATGACTTCTGCCTGTTAGGACCATTTTCTTTTTTAAAGAAAAGTTTGGAACTACAAAATTAAAAAGATGAGCAAGTGCCGAAACCGGTTTAGCTCAGTGGATAAAGCATCAGCCTGTGGACTGAAAGGTCCCAGGTTCGATTCCGGTCAAGGGCATGTACCATGTTGCGGGCACATCCCCAGTAGGGGGTGTGCAGGAGGCAGCTGATCGATGGTTCTCTCTCATGGATGTTTCTGGCTCTCTATCCCTCTCTCTTCCTCTCTGTAAAAAATCAATAAAATATATTTTAAAAAATGAGCAAGTTCTGGAGAATTATAAATTCACCTATAAATATGGCTGGCATCTCTCCCTATTATATAACTTTTCCGAAGTTGCCTCCCCTTTATTTCTATATTTTTGTGCATTTTCTGTCAGTTACTTTCAATCAATCACTAGAGCACAGAGGTAACTTCCTGCTGAGCAGATTGGTGGTGGTGGTGGGGGGGAGAAAAGGTTCTCCTTGTTTTATCTCAGCTGAGTCACAGAGATAAGAGTTTCAATTTTAAAGACAATGGACATCCAAAATGAACCAGTGTAGTTTCTGTGAGTCCCCATCTTGGCACACAAATAAGTAGCTCGTCAGGAACCTGGAACTAGCCATTATCTTGGCCCTTTGCTTGGAGGAGAGACCAAACTGCAAACTGGAGCGCCAGCAGAGTGCGTGATCTATTTTGCCATTTGACACGCACAGCCCTTTCAGAACCATGAAGTAAAATGAATGATCCAGTGAAAGTAATGAAGTCAAAGCTGTATTAAAACTGAGAAGTCTAAAAAGGGCTAATCTGATGTAACCCTGATATTGGGCGGGAGGGAGAGGAGGAGCATGGGGGGAGACTAGTAACCTGAATCTGTGCTAGCAAGCCCAGTGTATATTCTTGATAACCTATAGTTAAGTCATTGCCTCTTTCCCAGAAACTGGTCTTGCAGAACCTGTTATCTAAATACAGAGGACATAAAACTGTGAACAGTGCACTGCCCCAGAGAGAGGGGTTATTAATGCTGGAGCCAGGCCAGACCATCAGATACAGCCTGGAGACCCCCAACATCTGTGACCTTCTTGCAAAGCTGCGAAAAGGACCGGAAGCATAATCTATATTTGTGGGACAAAGACCTCAGAAAGATATAAAAGAGAAGCCCCCTGCATGTTACTTTACTCAGATTGGGGAAGTTATTCTGCTGAGTCCCCAGGCATATTAAACAGTGTAACTCCTTTTCTCTGAAAATGTTGCTTGGTTTTTCTCTGGTCTTCTGCAACAAAACCAGTTAGCATCTACTGCCCAGCTGCATCTCTGCCTCCCTCACTAAACTCTGGGTTTGATCCGAGGGGGACACCCAGCATGAAGGGCCCTGCCAGACTGCTCCTTTCCACTCTGCTCCACCTGCCAGGGAATCCAGCTCTCCATCCCACATCCCCAGGCGCTATGAGCTTTCTTGTCACCCGAACCTGCCCCATCTTGGGGTCGGGACCCTGGCCATTAAAATAAATGAAAGGGACATTCTTTGTTTGGTATACATGATTCTGTACCCTTTTGCCCTCTGGCATGCTGACTTAGCAAGGCCACAGTGAATTCTCATGCTCTGTAACTGAAATCATATCATTTCAGATTTGGGATCTCTGCCACCTGCATTCTTTCCCATTTGCCTTCTGTTTATTGTTGCACTTTGATGTTCAAAATCCCAACGGCCAACCTGAGTTCCTGCAGACATTTTGCCTCAGCAATTAGTGTCACATCGGTGACTCTCCTGCTTGGTGAGTCATTTCCAAAAGATTTTGTGTCTTCTCACTAATGGTGATTCCTTTCCACAGGCGGATGCCATTGCAGTGCCCACAGTTATGTAGGATTATCTAGTTCAGTGGTGAAAAATACCTCGTGTGAGATGGAACAAAATAGGGACCCTCAAAGAGGACACTTAAAATCACTCTACGAAATTTCAGTTTGTGGGCTCTTTGAAATGTTGCTTTCAAACCTTGTGAAGAATTTACAAATGAAACCCATGAGATTGTTTTTAAAAATTAGCCATGATAAGGAAATTTAAAAAGAACATGGTTTTCATGCTTTGTTAACTGAGAAGATACAGCAACAGGTGTAAAATAAATTTCTCTTTAAAAATGTATTTTTTTTTATTGATCTTTAGAAAAAGAGGAAGAGAGAGGGAGAAAGAGAAACAATGATGTGAGGTTGGAACATTGATTGACTGCCTTGTTGCACGCCACCTATTGGGGATGGAACCCTGACCGGGAATTGAACCACCAACCTTTTGGTACATGGGACGACATCCAACCAACTAAGCCACATTTGCCAGAGCTAAAATACACAGCTCCTTTCACACGTCTCTGAAGAATGCCCTGGCTCTTTCCATTTAGTTTAATAAGAAAAGATAATAGGAGAACACTCTAGCAGAGGTAGAGAGACCGTCATACCAAAACTAAGTGGGGGGTGAGCAGGACACAACTCTAATTTGGTGGTAGTGCCACTAACATTTCTACATGTTAATTACCTTATGATAAAATAGCAGGTATCTAATCTTAGAGATAAGTGGCCAAGAAAAACAGATGTGAAAAGTCAGGAATAATAAACAATGTGGCCGGAAACCGGTTTGGCTCAGCGGTAGAGTGTCGGTCTGCGGACTGAAAGGTCCCAGGTTTGATTCCGGTCAAGGGTATGTACGTTGGTTGCGGGCACATCCCCAGTAGGGGGTGTGCAAGAGGCAGCTGGTCGATGTTTCTCTCTCATCGACGTTTCTAGCTCTCTAGCTCTCTCTCTTCCTCTCTGTAAAAAATCAATAAAATATATTAAAAAAAAAATAAACAATGTGATGGCGGTAATATTACTCTCTAAATTCTGGAAATTGCTATTTTCAGTTTAAACTTTCTTTTGAACTTAAAGATTTCAAAGTGTTCCATAGGGAGTATAAAATAAGCTCAAATGATTGTGAATCAATAATGAAACAATTAAATCAACATGGAAAAGCATATGAGTGTTCTTTCCAGCATTTACTATCACTGATCACATGGGAAGGGGTGTTTACTTTGGGTTCATTCCAAAGTAGCTTTGCAGACCAGCACCAAAGACTTATCAGCTCCACAGATCCATGTCTGCATCCTCCTAAGCTTTACCTACATAAAAGGAATCTATTGCAAGAATAATTTACTCATGCCATTATAACTTAAGTGTGCATAAAAAAACTGAATATCATTAAAAAATAATTTAACACGTGCCGTCAAGGTCAGTTTAGCAACAGAAGACCTTCCTGACCCAACAGTTGCACAGCTTATTCAGAAATACCAGGATCCAGGATGGGAGGAGAGGACAGAAAGAAAAGAGAGTTGAGGTCCTCTTATAATTAAGGGTACATCATTTTTGATTTTTCATCTAATCTTTCATTATTAAATAAAACTCTATTCCAATTGTAATTAAAATAATCTATTTTAGATTATTTTAAACTTTGACTTTATATGATTATATATTGAATAGATAACATAAAACAAAAATCAATTTACTTTTGTTATTTATAATCATTAAAAATTGCATTTCTATCTTCAAGACAGTATTCTAAGTTTTGGGGAGTTTTTTGTTTTGTGTGTGTGTGTGTGTGTGTGTGTGTGTGTGTGTGTGTTTAGGTTAATGTGACAGGGCTCAACAGTTCTTAAAAGTGCTAAAACCAAGTGGTAGATAAGCCTGAATCTTAATGATTGTGAGGTCCTTAAAAAACAATACTGTGTCTTTAATGGAGTTACACAGAGTGAGAAAGTAAAGCAGTTTTGCTTTCCCTGCATGTGTTTCTCATTTGAAGTTAGAAACGAAGTTCAGTCTGATTGAGCCGGGTAGGGGGTAAAGAATTTGCCAGATTTTACACATGAAAGCAAATGCTTAGAAGTGGAATTAAAAGTCAATGTACACTAAACCTTTAATGTTAACTGATGCCAGCCCTAATCCATACTCAGAAAGTGGAGGGTGCACATTCTCAGCCCTTGGCACTTGCCTTCTTGCCAGGAGCAGGGTCCCCAACGCCAGAGCCGGAGCCATTAGCACGTCTTGCTCAGAATCCAGTGGTCTGCATTTGTCACATGCATCTCAAGACAGAGATGTTAGGATGGAAGGTGATTTACAAAACTCCATGGCCCAGACCATGGGGTCAGAGCAGAAAACTGTGATTCATGGAACCCTCATGATATTCATGATTATAAAAAAAAAAAAAAAAAGATTTTCACAGCCAAATGTTTGAGAAAGTCAGAGTTAATCAAGGTTAAACATGTTTCCTTCCTGAAGGACTTCTCCCAGGCATAAGTATTTCAACGTGCAAGGGAGTTTCCTAGTTACTGGGCCTGAGAGCCCTCTTTAAAGAGCTACCTATCTATTAGGTTGTGGCTAGATACTGTGTTCCATGGGGCACAGTGTGAGAAATAGTGAGAAAAACATTATCATCTGTGAATTATAAATGAGGAAGTGGAGGCCCATGAAGATTATGTCCTCAGGTCAGGCTTCTAGTGCCAACTTTCTCAGGGCATGATAAAAAATCTGAGAAAAAGCACACTGTAACCATGGTTCTTAGAAACATACATACCCGAAGAGGCTCCTAAAACTAAAGTTGAAAGTATGCTACATAATGCACTCTTCTGGTCCTATCAGAGCACACAAACACCCCCACCTCCACCCCCCAAATCGTGAGTACCTGGTACAGAGGCATGCAGATGCTATCGATCCACTCCAGTTGCAACCGAGGCAGTTCATCTTTCCGGTTCCGATCAAAAATAGCCTAGGAGGGGGGAGGAGAAGCTTGCTTTATCACACCCGAGAGTTTTACTGGTGCTTTTCAAACACTTTGCCACAATGACCCAATTTTTACCAACTGAGCACTTCACAAATCACAATCAATCTTTACCCATGTTTTCCTTTCTTTTATCTATGATGAGAAATGAAATATATTCACCTCTTTTTATGAGATTTGTAAGTGAAGTTATTTGAACTTTACAGCATGCAACTCCTTGGGGCCAATATCGGTCTCCAGATACAAGTAACTGCCACTAAATCAAGTCATCAGGTCACTGGGAATTGGGCACAAGTTTTATTGCCACCAAGCTAATGGAGGCTTTTATTTTTACAGTGAAAGAGGGTGGGATAGATTAGAAAAGATCCTTGAAAATAATTTCATTTTAAACAGGGACTATTTGTATTATTTTTTCAAGGTTGGGTGTTGATGTGGCAGTTCTGTATGTACTTCAATAAGGTTCTGTCTGTCATGAATAAATTCCTAATTTTTAAATCTATCACTGAATGGATGATGGTAGGAGGTACCCATTCTCTCCCCATTCCCAGCCTTTAAACTTTATGATATTATAATGTTTAGAAAAGTTGGCTATGTTTGTGAGAAAAAGAAGTGACATATATCTATGTAGCAGATATGAAAAGAGAAACAATCAGTAGGAATTGGAGGGGTAAAATGGATTCCTTGACTAAATATTGACATTTTATGCCAGGGAGAATGTCCATTCTTTGTTCTCTAATTTTTTTTTTTTATAATATGTTTTATTGATTTTTTTACAGAGAGGAAGGGAGAGGGACAGAGAATTAGAAACATCGATGAGAGAGAAACATCTACCTACTGGGGATGTGCCCACAGCCAACGTACATGCCCTTGACCGGAATTGAACCTGGGACCCTTCAGTCCACAGACCGATGCTCTATCCACTGAGCCAAACCAGTTTTGGCCCCTCCTTTGTTTGTAAGGGTGAAGATCAGGGTCTAAGAAACAACTGACCTTGCCTGAGTTCCTGTCTTTCCTCTAGATAGAATGTGCCATCCCTCTCATTCTGGTGTTCACATAGGTCATGAAGGCAGATTCAGGCCACCCCTTAGGAATGTAAATTGGTGCAGCCACTATGGGAAAAAGTATGGAGGTTCCTTTAAAAATTAGGAATAGAGTTACTATAGGAACCAGCAATCCCTCCTCTGGGTGTTTACCTGAAAATTTTGAAATCATTTATTCATAAAGATATATATGATCCTTGATCATTGCAGCATTATTCACGGTGGCCAAGACATGGAAACAACCCAAGTGTCCTTCGATACATGATTGGAAAAAGAAGATGTGGTACATAAATACAATGGAATACTAGTCAGCCATAAGAAAAGATGAAATATTGCCATTTTTGACAATATGGATAGGTCTTGAGAATATCATGCTATGCAAATAAATCAGACAGAAAAAAATCAAGATCTGTATGATTTCACTCACATGGAGGATATAAAAACAGAAAGCAAAAAACCCCAACAACAACAACACAGAAACTGTTTCTTTAAAGGGAAAAGTTTTTATTTGAAAATTAGAGGCCTGGTGCACAACATTTGTGCACTGGAGGGGTGGGGGTCCCTCAGCCCAACCTGCACCCTCTCACAGTCCGGGATCCCATGGGGGATGCTCTACTGCCATGGAGGCAGGAGAGATTCCCATCACTGCCACTGCACTCATCAGTCTTGAGCCCGACTACTGGCTGAGCAGCACTCCCCCTGTGGGAGCACACTGACCACTGGGGGAAGCTCCTGCATTGAGCATCTGCCCCCTGGTGGTCAATGCACATCATAGCAACCAGTTGTTCCGTTGTTCAGTCAATTTGCATATTAGCCTTTTATTATAAAGGATAGATATGTGGCTAAGAGAAATTTGGGTTGAATTAGGTTTTACACATCAACTATGTATTCCAATTTAGCATATTATTATAACCAAATCTGGTGACACTAAAAATAAAGGCATATTAAAAAATATATATCTTTGAAAACTGGGTGGGTGTTTTAACCTATTCTGCACCTTTTATATAAATGAAAACATACTATGTGCTCTTTTGTGACTGGCCTCTTTCACTTAGTATGTTTTCAAAGTTTATTCCTGTGACATGCATCAGCTCTTCATTCATTTTTATTGCTGAATGATATTCCACTGTATAGATGTATCACCTATTATTTATCCAGTTACCATTTGATGGGCATTTGGATTGTTTCCACTGTTTGGCTATTATGAATATTGCTGCTATGTAGTCTTCTGACCTTTCAGAGGTAAGCAACAGATTAAGGAGAGTTAAAATTACTAAAACTGTCTATTCTGACTTCAAGTAGGTAAAACTGTTTAGGCTAGGACTTAGTTCTGCTGCCTTTCCCTGCTTTTAAATGTGAGTTTAAAAAAAGGGGGTCTTAAAATATTCAAAACTCAACATTTCCTGAGTTTCCTTGAACCTGCTGGGCTGTGCCAGGCATTAAAATACCTTGCGCCTTTCTTGGAGCCAGTGGGTTTTTAGTTAACCATTCATTAAGAAAAAAAGAGGCTGCCTCCTCTTTGAGGCATTTATATCTTTTGTATCCTGATGAGAAAAAACAGCACCAGCCTGAGCCTACAGTAAACATTCTCAAATAATATTTGAATGGATATGTAAATAACAATTCAGTCAGCAGAACCTAAACCTCCAGGTGGAACTTTTCATTTTGTAATGTTCAAAACTAGAAAATAGAATCTTCAGCACCCATTATTTACAACAGTTGCCTGTTCTAGTTTCTCAAGGCTAGGCAGCTTGCCTTTATTTTTTTTTTTTTTCTGTAATTGTATTCCATAGTACCCATGGACCGCTGTGGGAAACCGCCCATTGTCTTCACTAGCAGAGAGCTGTGGACAAGGACCCCGGAATGCTGCTGACCCTTGAGCCCTGGCAAAGGTCAGCACTATGCACTCACTGTTTAGTCGAGACAATGGTAGCCGAAGCAACTTCCCTACCAGGCAGTCATGTAAATCCTTACTTATAGTCATGACTTACAGTCATGTAGCCTGCCTGTTACTGGAAATTGCCTGCCTAAGGGCTATAGGTCTATCCCAAATTGAATAAAAATAATGGCAAGGCCTGAGCCCAAGCAGAGTCCTTCCTCTTGGGATGGGCACCCGCCTGCCCTCCCTCCCCCAACTTCCAAATTATTATTTCTTGTCTAGTCTCTTTAATTTGCATGCAGCCCCTTCTCCAGATCCTGAACTCTGAACCACACAGGACGTGGGACATTCACAGACCACATCTGAAATACCAGCTCTGGGCTCTGAGTTATTCAAATGCCACTCCGCACATTCTCTCTTGTGCCTGCTCATCCCCCTGTGGGTGCTCGGGAAATTCTTGTTAAGTAGCTCACCACTCTTAATCAGACACCTGGGAGTAAGAGTGCTTAGCATCTAAGCTTAATTAAAGTTTTAAACTTTCAGGAGTGCTTCCTTAAATCTATTCTTAATTTTCCTCTTTTCAAATTGTGGTTTGGAGTCATTTTTTTTTTTAAATGTCACTCAAGAGGGTAGATACATCATAATAAAAGGATGAGCTTACTGAAGGGGTGAGTTTGAGTTCTGATCTCTCCCGATCTCCTTGTTCGAAGAACTCACTGGTTACAAGTTCAGCCACCTGAAACATGTAAATATTTCAATTTATGGCTATGTTTATTTAACCACCATTCTAAGAAGTTATTTCTGGCTTAAGTGTATGGCAATTATCTTCAACACACAATCATTTAAAAGGCTTATGAGGAAGTACATTAACCTTTTGTATTTGAAGGTATTATAGAAATTAATCAATGAAACAGATTTCCTTTTCATCAGAAGAACCTGTGTGGTGTAATTTTAGATGCATGCCAGAAGACAATTTCCAACAGCATGTATAGCTGGCATATTTAGGATGAAGCAAATAATAAGCTAATAATACTTATTATATTATTAAAATATATTTGTTATAATAATTAGCCCACTTCCGGTTGTTTCTATGTAGATTCTTTACATTGTTGCACACTTTTAACCTGGTTGAATCTTGCCCTCACAAAGACTCCTGAACTGCCTCACCCTACCAACATCTGTGTGCATTCTGGAAGGAGTAACCGTGGGCACACCCCTGCTTTCTGCTGGGGGAACCAGTTGAGGGGCAGGAGTAATGCTAGAGTTTCTGCTCATACCAGTTTATAGTATGTTACAAAATAATTTGAAGATCGTAATTTGCTCTTCAGGCTGTCTGAACCTATGTACTAAAAGTGTTCAGTTATGGCAGGTTCTAGTTGGTCTGAGCACAATGAAATGACTATTCTACCCCAAACCGTAGATATTTGTCCAAAGCACAGACCTGTTTTTTCCACTTCTCATCCATTAATGTGGATGATCAGAAGTTACTGATCATAGTCAAGCTAAAGAACTCTTTTCTGAGTCCTGTGCTTCTAAGGGTAGCTTTATGGGAAACAAATTGACATACTAGGTTAAGTGTTGAACAGTTATTTGCAACAACACTGTGGTGTGCATGTAGAAAATCTCTGAGATGAGCTAGCTGGACTTACAAAAGATTGGAAGAGCAGAAACACACACACACACACACACACACACAAAATAAAACAACAACAACAACACACACACACACAACACACACACGAAAAACAAAACAAAACAAAACAAACCTAGACAACCTGATGTCAAGAAGACCTGGATCCCATACTAATTTTCCCCTATTCTAGGCTCTTATAAAAGGTGAGGTTCTTAGATCTGACAAATACTTGAATGGCCTCATTTTGGTTAAGTGCATAGAATGAATATTATTACCTAAGTGTATCTTTTAAGAACTTTGTCAACCATAAATCATAACATTGATAAAACATAAAAACATCACACACACACACACACACACACACACACACACACACACACACAGAAATCTGAGAGTAGCAAGTATACAGTCATTTATAAAGAAATAGAATATTTAGTCAGTTCAGATTTTAAACATTTAAAAAATTCAACAGCATAAAACTAGCTGGAACTGACTAAGTTTTTCTGGGACTTGCTCCATTTCTCTGCTCTCCAGTCTTTGCCACAACCTTTCACTTCAGTGCTCAGGTCTGTGTCGTTTGTCTCTGGCCTTTTAAAGGAATAAATGGTCCCCTCAGGGCCTGGCCTTATTTACCCAGTCCCCAGCACTCCCCCTCAGATTGCTCTGAGGTGTGTCTTTTGCACCGAAGAACGCAAGTGTACAATCAGGTCACCCAAGGCGGGGGTCCTGTGTAGGTGTGTAGCCTCTGGAAAGCACAGAAATTAAAACAAAATCTCGTCCTGGATCTTTCTAAAGTGGTCCTGGGTGTCCCCCCATGCATCTTTCGCAGCTCAACTTGTACCACTGTGTTCTTTGTACTTAAAAACCCAAGCAGTAACATTAAGTGGCTCCTGATTGAATTTGTATTAAAGAGGGAAATTGAGATGCTAATCAGGCCTTCGGGGATCACTGGGGAAATCCACATGCTTGCAATCATGTTTGTGAGGAAGGAAAAGTGGAATAGACACCAGTAAAAACAAAACAAAACAAAACAAACCCCACAAAACTTTAAGAGGGAATTAAAAAAATAAAAAACCTTCTAGGAAATTAGAAATACATTTATGTTTTTTACTTATTCTTATTTAAGTTTTTAATATTTATTTTTAGAGAGAGAGGTAGGGAGAAAGAGAGCGAAACATCAATTGGCTGCCAGCTGCATACCCCCACTGGGGATCCAGCCAGAAGCCGAGTGTGTTCCTGTCTGGGAATGGAACTGGCAACCCTTCAGCACATGGGACAATGCCAAACAGCTGAGCCACACCGGCCATTTCTGTTTTTAAAAGAAGGTTCCACTGTTTCTGTTCAAATGGTTCCTAAAATAATGAAAGAGACTTTTTAAAAAGTATCTTCACCTATTCCATTTAAAGACAAACAAATGAGATCTCCAATTTAGAGGTGTGACAAGATTCTGATGGAAGCATTTGGAGAAACATGACGTTTGGATTTATTTCCTTGAGCTCTTGAGATTCTGCATTTATCAGCAAAGTTCACATCCTCCAATTAACATAATATTTATATCAGTGACCAAGTAGACCATCTACAAGTGGCCATTGGCCTCTTTGGTCTAAATATCAAGCAGAAACTTTTTCCTTCCTAATACTTTGTCCTGTCACTTTCCTGCCCCCAAGCGGCTCCTGCTCCTTTAGTTCCTTCTTGACATGCATTTCCCTGGGGTTTCTGAAGGCCCTGGTACATCATCCCTATCCCCTCTATTTCCAATCTTCTCTATTTTTCCTCTGGCCCCCCTAACTTTGTCCCACTCTCCACCCATCTACCCCCTTCCATCCCTACCATGGTGCCACCTCCCTGCCAGGACTACATTTCCCCCAATACCTGGAAGACCCACCTACCTCTTCTCTGCAGTTTATTCTCATACTTCACTGCAAGAGAGGCCTTCCCCACTGGGAAGTGAAGGGTGGGCAGAGATGTAAAAATAAGCTCCACATCCACACCAGTTGTGTGTTTGGGGTGCATCAGAAGCTATATTTTGGGTGTATGTAGGTCTTTAATGTAGAGATTAGCAAATATCACCCAGAGATCCTGACCTTGGAGCTTGAGACCATGACTGCTGGGGCATTTGGTCATCTCCCCTGGGGAGTGGGTGAGCATGTTTTGCCTTTTGCCTGCAGGAGGAGAGTGAATCATATTTTTGATGATTAAAAGAGCAAATTGTGGTAGTCATGTTTTCAATAATTATTTCTGGCTTTTTAATTTCTGGGCACATGGAAGGATTATAGTTCCTGGTTGGGCAGGGTTTTGTGACAAGTTCTGGCCAATGAATTGTTGGAGGGCGGGGGGATTTCATTTCCACTGCAAGACCCACAGTGCGTCTGCTGTATTGATACAGACAGTGGCTGCCCTGTTAGCCCGTGTCCAGAATAAGGACAAAGAGGTAAGTGCCAGCCCACCCTGGATGCACACATTCAGGAGGCATTTGTCGGTTTAAACCACTGGAATTTTGGGTTTAGTGGCAACATCACCTATCCTGCTGACACGCACCATTTAAACTGCTGACTGAGGCATCCTATAAAAGGAAGCATAAACTGCTGGGAAGAATGAAGGCATTGGAGCCTAATGTGCTAAGATTTTAATATCTAGCTCCACCATTTGTGAAGCCTCATTTTTCCCATTTGTGAAATAGGGATAATTATTGAATTAGTTTCTCGGGGCTGCCATAAATTACCACACACTTGGTGGCTTAAAACAACAGAAATTTATTCTCTGAGGGTTCTGGAGGCCAGGGGTCCAACATCAGTTCACTGGACAGAAATCAAGGAGTCAGTGGGGCCACCCTCCCTCGGGAGCTGTAGGGAGAATCTATTCTTTGTCCCTTTCACTGCCAGCATCCCTTTGTTTGTGGCTGCCTCACTCCAATCTCTGTCTTGTCCCCACATTGTCTTCTCTTCCTCTCAATGTGTAATCTCCCCGTGCCTGTCTCCTATAATGCCACAGGTGATTGGGTAAAGACACCTGGAAAATCCAGGATGATGATGATGATAACGATAATGATATTGATGGTCCTTAACCACATCTGCAAAGACTCCTTTTCATTTAAAGTGAAGTTTACAGCTTCCAGAGACTGGGACCTGAGATCTCTGGGTTGCCATAATTCAGCCTACTACACCTACTTCAAAGTGGGTTTTGAGGATTTAAATGAGATCACACATATATGTATATAGCCATCATTCAATATTTGTTATTTACTTATTCAATCATTCAATATTAGGTATGTATTGTTATGTGAATGAATCATATTTCCCTAAAATATGAAGTCTTAAGACACCAAGTCACTATCTTAGACCTCATAGTTCACATAGTAGGTACCTCATAAAACTTAAAGAGATATTAACCTCAAATTCTATTAGTAATCAAGGACTTTAAATTGTATAATCATGACTTGAAAACTATTCTTGTTTTAGAACTAACAGTTTTTTGGCAGTGAAACCAGATAGTAAAGGCATAATTTTTGGGGTACAAATTAATTTGGATACTGCACACTCTAGCCAAAGAGCTCTCTGATCTTGAAATAGCAATTAAAAAGAAAGATAGAATTTTTTATTTACCTCCTTGGATTTTTATCTCAGATGTAAAAACCGGAACCTTATGCTAAAACATAATTACCTATTCAAAAACACTATTTTTGAAACTCATGCCTTAAGAAATGGTCAAAGTGTTATTTGGATTTAGTGCATTTAAAAAAATTATTCCAGAGCCAGAAATATTATTAGTCAGTGGGAGCCCAATAAAGAAAGGCTGGGCAGTAAACTATGTGGAGCCTAAGCCTCCCACTATTTTTTTGCACCCTGTTAATACTGATGCAAATTGACTGGGGCTTCAGTGCCTGGGAGTCAGGGCTCTGGGAATATCGCGGGCCCTCCCCACAACCCCCCCTCCAGCCCCTCCTCCGCTGAGCCCGGCCATTAATCACCACTCGCCTGTCTCGAGATCTCCCACGGTTTGGTCACGGCTCCAAGGTCACAGGCTGTCATTAACATTGATCTGGAAAACAGAACCAAATAAAACAGCCTGAATAATCTTTTGTGGCACTGCTAAACAAACCGTCCTGGACACATAAATAAACAAAATGGAGCGGAGGCAAGCTCACATCTTTTCCTCAACAAGGGAAGCCCTGTTTGTGGTCCCCACGTTTAGCATCTCTGTCCTGAGGCCACGCGGCTCGGGAAGACAAAGCTCGAACGCTCCCCTGGCTGCCCTTTGTTTTGTCTGGAGCAGATGGAGGAAAGCAAAGCATGCCTTTCTCTATACCTGAGCGAAGCATGCTCTGCCTAAAATAATTTGTAATGGACAAGGCTTTGTATTCTTAACTATCATCAAGGGAGTCAGTATATCATACTGTATACATAGCTGATGATTCTAATTACCAGCTATCACTGATGGATGGGAACGGAAGAAAATCCACACCAAGGAGATGAGGCACATGCTGCATTAGAAGCTCCTCTTCTCCTCCAGGGAGCTAAGATTTATGGGTAAGGGCCACACTGTTTTTCTCCAGCTTCCTGCCTGGCTGCAACCGTGTGTGATAAGGGTCACCAGGAGACATTCAGCTACAGCTTTCATGAATGTGAGCATGTTAAGAAAGCACAGGAAAGATCCGAATCAGATTGTGGAAGAGCGGGTTTCTATTGGGTTTAACTGGAATTCACACTGAGCTGTGGAGAAAATGCAGAGGACAAAGTCAAATTGTAGAGAGCTCAGGGGTTTATAACTGGATATGGAGGGAAAGGGAAAAATGAAACACACTCTTTGTCCCAAATCTGCTTTCTTTGTACAAAGAGCAGCAGAAAGTGATGAAAAGTACTGACGGATCCGGACTGGGAAATCACCTCGTATCCGGCTCCTGGTGGAAGAGAGGGTGCGTTGTTACAGGTCAGAGGTTAGTCCTGATGTCAGGTGTTAACGTTCATACCCGCCGGGCCCCGGGCCTTGGAAACATGTCTGCTTCCCAGATGGCGGAGCATGCCTAGGTGGTGGTGGGCTTTGTGCAGCTCCACCAGGAAATCCCTCCAGGGATCAGGCAGAGGGCTCACACAGGTCATTCAGAACACAGCCAGGCACACAGGCATCAGCAGCCCTTGGGGAGCCAGGTGGCATCTAATCCCAACACCCATGTGCTAGGTAAGCACTACACAGAGACACCAGTCTGTTCTTCAAACTTGATCTTCTATAACAAGCACTTCCGCAGCCCACGGTTTGCCTGCCTCTGTACGAGGTGGTCTACCAACTAACTCCTAACTAAAGGAATCCTTATCACAACCCTCTGAGGTAGGCAGACCTCAGACCTCCTCTTGCTACACTCAGATGCTTCCCGTTTTAGGTGCTGCTGGTACCAGAAGGGAACATGACTGTAGGCAACGCGTTAGAATTTGCCATCTCTCTCCTGGGCAGGAAATAATCTCTCTAAACTTGCCTATTTTTACCATAGCTTAGATGATTACTTAGGTTTCATCTGTTTGAGAATTTGAAACTTACTTCTCAAATTCATGTTCATATCAGCATTAATCAGTTAATCAATAAGTTCATTGTGTACGTGCTAGGTGCTCTAATGATGATAATTCTAATAGCTACCACTTATTGAGCAGGCTTACAGGTAGACATACTATTATTATCTTTATTTTACAAAGCAAATAGTGATCAGAAAGGTTAGGTAGCTTGTGTGGAGAGCATCTACAGAGTTTGGACAGGTTATGGCCCAAATCTGTGGGTCCCACGTGGCTAAGTGATATAGGCTGCGAGAGGTGCAGCAAGTAAACAAACCTTGATCAGGTGCACGTAATTGAGTAGATTTAAAACTCACAAGAATGTTGTAAACATCTTGACCATGCCTTTACTCTGACTAGTGGAATCTGGTTATAAAATAAAGATTTGGCTTGCAGGCCATGGCGCTGTCTCTCCATCAGAGAAGCAGCGTCACACCTAGACCCAGCTTTATTCTTTTGTCTGTCTTTTCTAAATCCTTCACTGCCCCCTCTCAGGCTCACCGAACCTGGCTGTGCTGGTGCAGCACAAGCTTGCCCGGTATTACAGCTAAGAAATATCAAAGCTAGGATTGTTATTCATAAAGTCTGACAAAGGACCCTCTACTTTCAATGAATACTTCGCAGTGGAGCAGAAAGACTATACAGAAAAGGAAGACAGAAAAGGGCTGGGGAGTGGGTGGAGGATGGTGGGGTGTCTGAAGCCCTTATTTGATTGGCTTTGGGAGTTAATTAAGGTTGAGGGCTCAGAGGGACTTGGTGAGGCCTTCAAGAAGAGAACTTGAGGTGGTAGATAAGGTTTGAATAAGGAGAGAGTGGAAGCAGGAAACTAGTTGACAAGCATAAGTTGATAAGGGTCTACAACAAAGAAGGGCAGGGGGAATGGAAGGGCAATAGGATGGGAGATCCCATAGGAAGAACTGAAGGAGAATGAGCAGGTTTATCTTGTTTTAATCTAGCCTCTACACCACGTTAACAGGTTTTTTTGTTTGTTTGTTTGTTTTGTTTTTTACTCAGAAGAGAGTGGGAAGGGAGTTTGTACCAACTGCTTTAGTCTCATAATTCTAGTCTAATTTACAGTTAAGTGGTGTCAACCTGCTCAGTGCGATTGGATGAATGAGTGGTCAGGCACGAGTCTCTATCCTAGTGGGGTGGATGAAGAAGGCAACTGTATTTAGACACCCAGCCCTCACAGCAGGTCATTTATCACACCTCTCCTCTATGTGCCAGCAGTAATTCAGTAAGGATCTTTCTTGATTTGTCTTCTAGTTTTAAAATAATTTGCAACCTAAAAGGAATAAATCTTTATTTTAAAGATATATTCAAATTCAATAAAAGATTTCATCTATGAACTGAATTTTGCACTTACTAAACAAAAATATTCTACCTCACAGTTTGCACTCTTTCATTGCTTTAGACTCTGATAGTGCCACAATGATAGAGCAGTGATGGTAAGATGGAAAACACATAACTTGAGTTTTTCAATTCTGTCATTTCATGTGACTATTTGAGGAGAGGTGGTTATTTGTGTTTATATTCTAAAGCCGTGGTCAGCAAACTCATAAGTCAACAGAGCCAAATACCAACAGTACATCGATTGAAATTTCTTTTGAGAGCCAAAATTTTTAAACTTAAACTTCTGCTAATGTCACTTCTTGAAAACAGACTTGCCCAGGCTGTGATATTTTGTGGAAGAGCCACACTCAAGGGGACAAAAAGCCGCATGTGGCTCGAGAGCCACAGCTTGCAGGCGGAGGCAGAGATTTCAGGAGGCTGACTGTATACCTGGACATTCTTGGAATTAACTTACATGTATGATTTATTTATAATTAATGCATAAGTAATAATGTATAACTTTGAAGCTTTCCTATAAATTATGTTGATACTCAATAGGAAATGTCAGCAACTGTTTATAATTCGTACCAACAATATATTTTTCTCAGGAGTATTTCATCACTGACATTGTTTACATTGCAGGCACATGGTGATGATAAAAAACAAAAACAAAAAAACCCCCTAACGTTTAGTTGGTTTTATTACTCCTTTAAAATTCCCTAATAGTGCTCTCCAGAGGAGCACTTCCCCCCCCTCGTCCCGCCTTGTGCACATGGTCAGAGTCTAACTGCAAAAAGAGAAGGGAGGGCAAAGCTAGGGGGATGGACCTCCTGGAGCACCTCTATTTTACATATACTTCCAGGTAGTTTATTATTATTTTATTATTATTTTTTACATATGAGATCCCCTGCCAAAAGTATTTGAAAATCTGCAGGAAAACCCTCAGGTGGATATGAGGAATAAGAACTGGCATTTTAGGAGTTATGCTTAGAGGAGACCAGGCCCAACAAAGTGGAGGTCATTTAAGAGGAGATGGCAGCTGAAGCTGGAGGATGCTCAGAAAAAAGAATAACAAGCCCAGGTCCTTGGGGGATAGTTACACATAGGTTACAGTGGGAGGTGAAAGCCTGGAAAAGAACAGAGAACAAGAACAAGGAAGAGTCAGAAAGGAAGTGGCAAGTCCAGAAGAGCATGGCTTTGCAGAATCCAAGGCCGGGGAGAGTTTTAAGAAAGGAAAAGCCAACACAAGTAGGGGCTTATGAAGAGACCAGAGAACCAGAAGAGAACAAAGGCTGTAGAATTAGATTCCTGGGAGCTGACAAATGACTTTCAAAAGGAACAGAAATCACATTCATAGGCTAAATTCCTCTATAGGGAAATGGCTAACTACTCTGTGCTGAATCTATATTTTGGAATACTATAGAGCATTAAAAGATGATGAGGTATGAACATAGAATTCCAAACATATACCCTGTTTCCCCGAAAATAAGACAGTGTCTTATATTAATTTTTTCTCCCAAAGTTGTGCTAGGTCTTATTTTAAGGGGATGTCTTATCTTTCCATGCGCTAGGTCTTATTTTCGGAGGATGTCTTATTTTTGGGGAAACACGGTAGTTGAGTGAGCAAGCAAGTTCAGATTGACATGTAAATGCAGAATTATATTAAAACAGATAAATTCTTACTAGATAATGTTTTCCAATGGTTCATGTGTATGTCCATGCTTTAGAAATTATCTGGACAGTTACAACTAACTGATAGCACAGCACAGCTATGCGGCAGTGTGGGAATTAGGAGTGAAGCTCAAAGGAGAATTGGAAGTGTATTGTAATGGTTTAATTTGTTACAGAAAAATACATTCCTATATTATTTGCAGAATGAAAAGGTACTTAAAAAGAAAGAAATTGCCTTGTAAGAAGTTAATAGGAGTTGTAAGGGAAGGAGAGAACTATTAATAGGATTGGAGCTTGAGAAGAAGGTAGATTTCAGGCATGAATTTTTTGAGGAAATGGAAACCTATTTTTAGAAAAGTCATAATGGAAAAAAAAAACCCCACACACAGCAGATTTTGAAAATGCAAGTAAGAGAATACAAACAAGGTCAGAATGCAGATGATGGTGGTGGAGGGGATGGAATTGGGACGTTAGGATGGAAGTGGAGGTACTGGAAGATTCCTCCTTGTCCTCAGGAAAGGACATAAAAAAGGTCTGTAAGGATAACAGAGAAAGAGCAGTGCAGAGAGGGGTGGGGAACAGGAGGGCCCTCTGGGGAGACAGCATGAAGAGATTGGCTGCAGGGGGACAGTACAGGGGGAGCTCAAGTTCTGAAGGCGAAGGCAGAGGTTTCAGAGAGCAAACATGGGAAGGGGAAGTCTGATGGGGTCTCACTCGGGGCGATCCCAGCGGCTGTCTGCTGTGGAGCAGACACAGCAAACCATAATCCTGGCCTCACCATTCCCAGGAATAGTCAACAGCGCTGGAGTAGGAATAAGACAGCAGAAGGTTCATGATGGCTGAGCTGAGGATGGCAGAAGCAGGAGACAGTATGACACGGAGAGAAATAGAGTCTTGCCAGCTGGTGGTTAAAATGTGCCACATAAAAATGATGGTTTTCGACTGTCTCTTCTAAACAGCCGGGAAGAAGTCATGTAAAAAGTCTAGAACAGACTCCTGATTCCCACCACCAAAATGGTTCCCATTGTTTTCTAGCTACAATAGCTGTTGTCTCTAAAGAAAAGCAACAGTGAACTCTGCTTTCCTTTATGCTGTGTGACTGTTTTCTGAGATTCAAACACCACCTCCCCCTCTTTCCCACCAGCTTGCACACCCGTCCTCTCTGGAAAAAGATGAGGTCATGGGTTGCTAAAACTGAACCAATTTAAATATCATTTTCTAGTTCTGAATGCAAATTTATGGAGAGGAGAGAAAAAACATAATACATTTAGAAGACAAAAAGACTGTCTATCTTTTCTCCAATTATTCAGCTAATTTCTTAGTGTTTGAGTGCAAGCTAAGATTTGTTGCTTTAAAAATCATTTGCATGCTCTTTGCACTGTCAGGAAAGCAAAGCTAAATCCTCAAATAATGAAGAAACACAAGCAAGAGCTTTCTCTTACCGAAATATATCACGATGGGGTTTGATGTTCCAATCGTATTCTCCTTTACTGACAAGTTCAAAGAATTCAGTTCTCCTCCTGCACACAATCAAATGAAGAAAGAAAAACACACACCTGGAATGAAATTTCTCAGCCTGTGGGTGACATAATCACATTTATGGGAAAATATAAGACCACCTGAACCAAGTAACTTAATATTTGAAACCATGAGGCTAAAGCACTATCAAAATAAATCACTTCTTAAAAAACATCGAGGCTTCAAGAAAAAGCCGCCATCATTTCTGACTGTATTTACAACAGAGAAGATTATGGAGCCATAAAACTGAAAACATTTAGGATAACTTGCTGGAAGCCGAAAGTCAAAGAAGAAAGGCAAGGACAAATAAAACGCAGGGACAATTCTGCAGTGTTCTTGTGTCATTCAACATAGAACTGAGCTGTATGATAACCCAAGATAAGCTCCGGTCCCTGGTAGTAAATTCAGACGAATACTTTTTTCTAGGTAAGAAAGTAACTATTTCAGCACTTTAGTGTTTAAACACATGAGCTACGGAGTGAAAAATAACTACGTTTAAGCAATGGGTCCAGGCACCTACTTGCTGTGCAACTTTGGGAAGCCACTCAAACCCTTTCAACTTCAATTTCCCAACCTCCAACCCGGGGATTAGGTTTGCTAACTTGCAGTTATTGTGAGGATTACATGAGATGACGTGTAAAGCCCTTAGCACAGTGTCAGCACATTTTAAGTGCTGGACACACACACACACACACACACACACACACACACACACACACACACATTTGGGGATGTATAGATATGTGAAAGACAAGAGGAAATATTCCACAGTTGTGAAAATAAGGGGTATTTATTTCTATTTTCACAACTTGAATCTAATTAGATGACTTCATTATTTTTATAGTGAGAAAGAAAAAAACAACAACAACAAGTCATTTTAAGCCTTTAAGAATTATTTCCTATGATTTCAACTTCTTGGATCTTCCTAATGAGAGACTATTTAAAGGATCCTGACATACCATTTCCCAAAGTACAGCCCACAAAATAGCAGTCTTAGGAGGTACTCCATCTAAAGGCACTCCCAGCCAAGTGGGTTTGGCTTTCTTATCAGTAAAAAATAATATTAATTGGATTTACATTGTTAAGGTTGGTGGGAAGATGAAATGAAATGGTTTATGTAAAACACTGCATCGGGTACCTGGCACACAGTAGGTGCTCATAAGGATTAACTAGTATTATGCTCGAAAGGGCTGAGTTCACTGGCCCAGTGTTTTGCAGCTGGTGAGCAGTGGAGCTGGGCTGCAAAGAGCCTGTTAGAATAGCAGCTGTCCCAAGCAGCTAAGGTATGTCCCAGGTGTCCTGGGAGAACAGAGCAGGCCACTCATCTCAGGTTGAAAAATCATAGAACATGAAAGGCTTCTGAAGAAGCTTGTCACCATCCCTGAAATCATTGTACCTGGGTGGGTGTCATTTCAATCCTATGAGTTATTCTAAAAATCACCAGAATGTTAGCTCCAAGAGGACAAGGACTTGGTCCATTTTTGCTCCCTCCCCGACCCCCAGTGCCTACAACAGTGCCTGACATGCAGGGGGTTAGTAAATGTCTGTTGAATTGATCCATGAATGAAAGGATAATCTCATAATACTATTCACCTGAAAACATAACTTTCAGCTACTAGTTTCATCTAGATTCTAATTGCACTAGGGCTTCACAGCTGCCATTTGGAGAGATTGAGATAAGAAAACAATATAAAATCTATTCAAGAAAAGCCCGTCAGATTCTTGAAGACTAGATTCTAACTTGAACCATGAGTTCTAGGAAATTTAAGAACACCGTTGTCTGACCTTCCCCTGAGTATTGTTATAGCTACTGAGAGCATATTAGAGGTATGAGACATGACATTTTTGATGCAAAGTGAAGGTATAGGCACCTAGGTGGCTAACTCAATACAAAAAGATATATTTTAAAAATACAAATCTATTACATGCCAACTAAACAGAACCATAGAATAAATTCCCCAATGATGGAAAGTTTAATAGCTAGAGTTGCTGGTGTGAAAGTCTTAAATCAACTAAACTCCAAATCAGTCTGTAGACTTCCCATCACATTATAACAAAGCTAGATTTTACTGACAAAAAGAAATAGCCACTATCCCTAGAGGATGGCAGGAAGAATTTCTTGCATAGGACACAGAAGAATGTGGCATACTAATTTTATCCCCCCCCCTCCCCCCCGGCACACACTGACTAACCATGAATTTCTTAAGAGGCTCTAATTATTCTGGCATCTCAAGGTTTGGCTATGACCTCATATGGGAATAGGAGACTTCCTGCACAACATAGTTTTATCAAGATGAAGATGGAAAAAGTCCAGTCATTGGTGGAACCATGTACATCATGTTCATATAAGTGACAAATAGGTGCGTTAAAGTTTAAACCAAACTGCATTTAAAATTTTATTTTAAGTTTCTGAAAACTAATGTCTTGAAAGACGAAGATGGGGTTCATCATTTTCATAAGGTAAAAGGTTTTCTTAAGTGATGATATGCAAAGGTCATATAACAATATATGCCTCTCTCTACACACACACACACACACACACACACACACACACACACACACACACACACAAGTGTGCATGTATGTGTAAAACTGCTGGGTCATAGAATATTTTATTTTTTTATATTTAACTTGAGTTTTCATTATTATAGACTGTTAGAGGTATACAGGGTAGGGCAAAAGGAGGTTTACAGTTTTTTAGTATGTAAAATTAAGTTTATTCTTATATTATTATTTATTAATTATTATGTTATTTTCTATATGAACAACTTGTAAATCTACTTTTGTCCCACCCTCTATGAAACTTGTGAGAACAATTTACTGTAACTCTGTCATTTTGCAGGTGAGGAAACTCAAGGTGAAGAAAGACGAAGCTGAATTGCTCAGGGTCCCAGGGAAGCTGTGGGAAGATCTAGGTGGATTCCAGGTCCCCAGCCTCCCAGACAGCCCTGCGTGTTGAGAGGATGTGGAAAGCAGTTGCTGAGCCCCTTCTTGAGGTGTCATGGCACCATGGACTGCTGTACTAGTATCCAGTCCCATGGCAGGCACCACATGAGGGGATGCTCCAAAGAAGAGCTGCAGACGGCCCAGGCCAGCTTGGGGTCATGGCTCCTGGTGGTTTATTTCTGAACAACAATGTGAAATTCACTGTGCTTTTAAAAAATGAATTTTCCCACAAAGCCTTTTAGCATCAAAATGTGTGTGTGTGTGTGTGTGTGTGTGTGTGTGTGTGTGTGTGTGTGTAGTTTTTTATAGAGTTAACAGCATGATCATTTGTGTCCACAATCCTATCTAATAAAAGAGTAATATGCAAATTAACCATCGCTCTGCGACAAAGATGGCATAGCAGCTGGGCAGGACACTGGCAGCATCGCCTCTGGCAATGCAAGCCCAGCAGGCAAGTGCAGCCTACAGGCAGCACCCAGCAGGGCCTGTCTTGCCATTGCTGTGGCAACCCGGGAGCAGGCAAATGCACTGCAGGCAGCACCCCGCAGAGTCTGCTTGCCCATCTCTGTGTTGTGGAACAGGCAGGCCCTGCAGAGAGCAGAGAACCACAGGGAGTGGGCCTAAGACGTCAGTAGGACATCCCCTGAGGGCTCCCAGATTGGAGAGGGTGCAGGTTGGGCTGGTGGCCTCCTCTCCCTCTACATGAATTTTGTGCACCAGGCCTCTAGTATTATATATAAAACTCCCTGGATCTGGACTCCTCTGCCACAGGAACTAATATCATCACCTTCTCAAGTACAATCCTGAAAACCTTGTTTTTCAGGGACAATGGAAAATACCTCAGCTAGTGAAAAGCAGCTTACTGGAAAATTTCATTTATAATCAGATATATTTTTATTAGGCTTTTATCCTGCTCTTGACATATATTCCACTGAGAAAAATATAGCAGCCTTTACAAAAGCATCATTTGAACAGAACTGCTAAAATTACCCTCAAATATAATTGGAAAGTTTAGTTACCAGTCACCCATCACTACATTGAAAATATTTCTGGTTTTTAATTTATCTGCAAGGCACTCTTCATTGGTAAAGTGAGAAATTACCATTCTTACACACACACACACACACACACACACACACACACACACACACACACACATATATATATATATATATATATATGTAAATTTATATATTACATATTCTTTCCCTATTTATCTAACTGTTCTGAATCTACCAAGTGTCTAAGAGCCCAGGAATGTTAGGAGAGGTGGCAAATCATGATTGTGACTCTCCTGAAAACCCAGCCCCAGGGTCATCAGGCAGGGAAGGCAGCAGTGTGTGTGAGCCGCTGGGTGGGTGCAGGGGAGAAGCTGGATGCTGTTCTCTCAGTGTTCTCCCAGCTCATTCAACAGGCAAGAGTACATCTGCAACTGATTGCTAAATGCAGATTCTGAGAGATTTGGATGTAAAAGCACTGACAAAGAGTAAACTAATATGCAGATGTTAACTCCAATAGTTATGACTAAAGAAACAAAAGTCATATATTAATTTGGAAAATGAATTATGTTCCTGCTTAAGTAGTCTGATAATATAAGGACTAGCTAACAATCCCTTAAGTTCAGAGAAAATGGCAGAGTAGTTCAAACATTTTGGAGCCAAACTACTTGGCATCACTTTCAGCTTTATTATGTAATATTGTGAGCAATTTATTGAATCTCTCCAAACCTCAGTTTTCTCAGGTGTGTTTGAGCTCAAACATAGTACCTATTCTGATGGGACTGCTCTAAATATTAAATGGGATAATGTGTATATAAAGCCCCCAAGTAAGCATTCAGGAAATATTGTTTTTATTAGTGTGGAAGCTGTGAAAGTTGCATAGGTCATCTTCGTTGATTTCCAATGCAAATAGTACAGGGCATTGTGATTTCCCGTTGACATTTTAATTCATGTAATTTTGGTTCTGTCTCTTTGCAGAACTTAAGTGTCATCTATAATTATAGAAATTTTATTTAGCTTCTGGCTCAATGGGTCTTTTACTTATAAGGTATTTTAAA